ATTTCTGCTTTTTGATGATAAAACTTCTGTCAATTTCTGCTTTTTGAAAATGATTTTCTGCTTTTTAGAGTTCAAAAGGTGGCAACACTGTAAGAGACAATAAGAAAATTCAACGAGTGATATATTTAAGATAAGATAAAAGTGGAATATCGAGAGAGAAAAGTACTCTTGAACAGATAACGTTGACAAAAATAAATAACGAGAAGCTATTATTGTGAAATCAAGAAGAGATAAAACGTCTCAAACAATCTGTTTTCAATGCGTGAAAATCTCTCATTGGAAGCAGAAAAATCCAAAACCCTTCTCGAGAATATTGATTGCGTCACTATATAATAGAGTATTATTCACTTCGTCTTAAGAAAGAATGGATTAGATCTTGACAAGCCATAAATGGTATAGCTAATCGAGATTTTCGCATAGATGACAAATATTTTCGAATAGAAATAGAACCTTCAGAAGTCTGACAAACTAGAGATATTAAAACGCAGAAAATGGCACGTGTAACAACAGCGTACACTACCATGTTATAGTAACTAGTTCAATCAGGTGAGAGTGCGTAGGCGGCTAGATGAAGGCGGCTAAAAAGTAGCTCTATGCATGCTCTGATCTGATCATATTATAATATCCCAGAAAAGGTTAAGATATTATCAAGCAACACTGGTAATCTTTCTGTAGCTACCTAGTATGCGGGAATGATGTGAGTCTTGCTCATCGTTGTCGATATAACCACATCCACACTCTTCGCACATCTTCAGATTGAAGAATGAATCAATATACTAGAAAAATAATACTGAATAGAGTAGGCTATACAATACGAGTTATGGATGACTTGTTCTGCTAGTTTTGAAATATAGATAGAGCAATATATTGTCTATCATAATATCATTTTATTAGATCGATATGCTAAGCTAATCAGATATTGGATAGCTGAATTTATTTTATATGCGACAATTAAAACTAAGTTTTCTCATCAACGACATTAGATTGAATAGTCATTCTTGCAAAAATCGATAGATGATATTGAAATCTACCAGATGCGAAGAGCATCTCATTTTCAATCATCAATCTTTGTAACTTCTGTTAGGAAAAGTGCATAAGCGAGTGAATGAATAGAAGAAGAGTGTGGTACAATTAAAACACGTTCGCTCACAATAATACACAGGACGTTCTCCTCTACAAGCGTAGAGAAATATCTAATCTATATTTATTACCAATAAATTGTATGAGTGTGAATCAAATGAAATTTTGTCTTCTCTAACAAGACTTGTAAAACTTACAACGAATTTTTCGATGTTTACTGAGACTATGCAGCAAACTAATATCAAAAATGCAAGTCAACAAGGTACCTTTTTAACATTATAGCTAGCAATGACATTTTTACTTCTACTTTACTAGTCCATAATGTCATCACTATTTACTAGTGAATATCAAAGCAGTTTATTTGCTTTGTTTTATATGATTTGCATGATCCTTGTGAAAATACAATTTAACTCGGAAGAATATATGCCTTGCTTTTTGTCAATGACATCAAGTCGTTAGAAAAAACAAGTAACGTTCATCGGATTCCGATTCACTCATCCCTAGACTAAAAGGCGATGAAATGTGATGTGACTAGATATGTAAATGAGACTATCAAAGGGTACATCTCTCGCTGAAATCCAAAGATGTGCTACAAGAGAAAAGCCGAGTGTTTTTAAACTTCATAATTAGAAATCAGTTCAAAATAAAAGCAATTTAAAGTTAAGAAGTCAGAACTACAAAGAACAGAAACATAAATATCTAAAAGTTGTAAAAAAAGAAATAATATTCATCGAATGCAGATTCACTTTACCGTAGACTGTTGAGTGTTGAATATATTTGAATGACCAAAGAACTGGAGATTTTGAAAGAAGAAATTTAAAAAGAACTAATTACTAAGCTTTCGTTACGGTCCTGCGGGAACGACTTTTTCCCGTATTTTCCCGTCCCGTTTCCCGCGGGAATCGGGAACGGAAATTCCCGTGAGACCTCAGGAACGGGAATCCGGAAACGGGAATTCTGGTGGACACTCCGGGAACGGGAACACGGGAACGGGAATTGTATTAAAAATTTCTGTTCCCGGCAAACCCTATGTCCGATTTCTGTTTGCATTAAAATCTGTTAATCTTACAGTATTCGATTTCCAATAACTATTTGAAATATAATTGAAAAGAGAACAAATATCAGTCAACAAAATCAGACAAGTTCATTCAAACATAGATTATGAGAATCACAATATTCTTTACCACCATCGTCGTCGTCGGCATCGAAGTTGGGATCATCATGATTACATATATGTCAAACTTGAAACTTGAATTCAATTGAAATTTCAAGTTTCAACTGAAATTTCAAGTTTCAAGTTTCAATAGGTTTATGAGCCTTGAATCAGAAATTTACTTTTAATATACGGAATCTTGTATTGTGAGAAACATGATGTCGCTAAAAGCTAGTATCAAGTAGGAGTAGTGTTGATGAATGTGAATAATGAAATCATTGTAGCTATTCTCAAAGCATTACGGGAACGGGAATACGGAACGGGAACGAAAATTTTGTTATGGGAACGGGAACACGGGATCGGGAACGAAAATTTTTGTTACGGGAACGGGAACGCGGGAACGGGAACAAAAATTTTCAATACGGGAACGGGAACACGGGAACGGGAACCAAAAAAAGTTGTTCCCGCAGGTCTCTAGCTTTCGTAGCTCGGTTTTTGAGCACTGATGGTATTCATGGAAACCATGAAGTCTTTCTACCGTTCATAGTTAGGATATTATTAAGTGACCAACTGAAAAGGAATTTAGATTTAAATACAGAGATGTTTCGTCTTTATGTTAGAACAGGTTAAAAACATTAACCAACGTCAATTTTATCTACGGTACAAAAGTTATTCTTCATCCAAAACATCATCTGGAGAGTATAGGCGGCTCAAAGCCGACGCAGGCGTAGCATTGTTTTGTAAAGAGGTCTGGCAACCACTGCACACAACTATCAATCCAGTTTTCGTATCGATCCCGCATCGTCCTAACAGTGCTCCATTCACGAGAACATCGAAACCAGAGAAAGTTTCTAACATTTGTCGAACATAGCCTATTTTGAGTTAGAAAACGTTTCAAAATGATGATTTCCGATCAATAAAGATCCTTACTGGTAAATCGTGAAAAATTAATTTTCAAAACAGAATTCGATATCTCGTCGTTCTGAGGTCGAAGAAGATGCAGATTCGGAAACGATCTGATAGTTAATTGTGACCAATTTTGAGTCAGGATTTTATAGCCGCGTACAGCGCAATTTCGGTCAGTTGCCATATTTGAATCATTTTTCGCACGTGTTTTCGCCCTATGAGTCGAAAAGAAAGGAATGTTTGGTAGAAAAAACAAAGAAACTATGAGTCTTACCGATGTTGATCACGATCACGTTCTAATCTAGTATTTCGCTCCGCATCAGTCTCGCGCGCTCGTAAGTTGTGTCGGCGGTTCATTTCTTTAGCACGTTTGGCTGTAAGACATTCTTCTCTCTCCTTTGCGTTTTATTTTGCATGTTTATCGGCTAGACGTTTCACTTCGTATTGGCTACGTGATATAAGATGCGTTTGCTTCTCTTCGACTGTTTGTTTTGACACCAAAATCGATCAATCGCTGTTTTCTGTATTGTCTGTCAATAGCCAGGCGACTCTCTTTTTGTTCAGCAGTCTCAACGAGAGCACGACGGGCACGAAAAGCTCGCATTCGGTTGGTAGAAGTCGACAAGCGGATATCCATTTTCATATAATCGTGAATGTTACTGGAAGAATTAAGATCGGTGGGCGACGAGTTGGCACCGTTATTTCGCCACAATATTGTATTCAAGTAAACAAACTCAAAGAAAACTAAACTATTTATGATGAGATACTCGAAAGTGAAATTAAGCAAAAAGCGTGATAAAACACGAAAACTGAAATCAGATCAGGGAAGACTGATATTTAAAAGACAGAAAAAGCTTACGATATTTTGAAAATTAACTAGAAAAAATGGCAAACAATAGAATCGAGCATGTAGCTAGAAAATCCACCAAAAGGCCAAATTTACCTCGAAGACCAGATCAAAATGCACAAACAACCTCTGCGACCGATTCAAACACAGATGTCACCGATCCAAACACAGACGTCACCGATCCAAAC